CTGGAGAAGCGGGGAAAGGCCGGGGGGGGCGTCCAGAGCGGCGTCTGCGCACTGGGCAGCCGCCGAGCCCTCCATCCTACTTGTGGGCGGGGGGCTGGCGCTTCTAGAGTGGGTCTTTGGAATGTTTACACCAGGACAGGTGGCGATGGAAGAATCCGAGCGTTCCCCACGACTGACAAATGAGGAAGCTGAGCTTAGAATTATTGCTTCTGTACACTGGAGGAGGACGGGGGGAGGAAAGGGAAAGTTATTTCTCCAGCCGCTAGTATTTTCAGCTCTTCATTAAGATGCGACCAAGCACAGGAATGTGAGTGCAGAGGTAGACCGTGCTAGCCGCCCCAGAAAGGCTTGAGACATTCGGGTCGCGAGCGCTTCTTCCTTTGGCCTCTTGAAAACCAAGCACTTCCTTTTTTTTTTTTTCTTCCTTGTGAAAACGAGTTCCTTTTCTGGGAATTAAATGTGTACATGAGAGTCTCCTGCTCCTTAGCCACGCGTGATGGCGCGCACCTGTGGGTCCAGCTACTTGGAAGGCTGAGGCAGAAGGATCACCTGAGCCTAGCAGGTCGAGGCTGCGGTGGCCATGAGCGTGCCACCGCTTTCCAGCCTGGGCAACAGGAAGACTCCTACTTTAAAAAAAAATTCTCAGCCGGGCTCGGTGGCTCTCAGCCTGTAATCTCGCTCCTTTGGGAGGCTGAGGTGAGTGGATTGCCTGAGCCCGCGGGTTCGAGACCCGCCTGGCCAACTTGGCGAGACCTCATCTCTACAATAAATCAAAAATCAGCCGGGTGTGGTAGCGCGCGCCTGTAGTTCCAGCTACTCGGAAGGTTGAGGCAGAAGGATCGCCGGAGGCCAGCAGGTCGAGGCCGCGGTGGCCGGGAGCGGCCACTGCACTCCAGTCTGGGCGACAGAGTGAGACTCCAACTCAAAAAATAAAATAAAATAAAATAAGTTTAAAAATTTTAAAAAACTTCTCAGCCGGGCTCGGTGGCTCAGCCTGTAATCCCGCGCCTTGGGAGGTTGAGGTGAGTGGATTGCCTGAGCCGGCGGGTTCGAGACCCGCCTGGGCAACTTGGCGAGACCTCATCTGTACAATAAATCAAAAATCAGCCGGGCGTGTAGTTCCGGCTACTTGGAAGGCTGAGGCGGAAGGATCGCCGGAGCCCAGCAGGTCGAGGCTGCGGTGGCCGGGAGCGGTCACTGCACTCCAGTCTGGACGACAGAGTGAGACTCCGACTCAAAAAAAAAAAAAAGTATCCTGCTCAAGGCGTTGCACCGCAGGTCGGCACCGTCAGCACAAAGTCCCCCACAGAAACTGACCCCACTGCAGGTGCTGGCCAAAGGGGTTCTCGCTCCAACCGAGGAACAGAAACGCTGTTCCCAGTCACTTCCACTTCTCTAATATAAAAGTTCCGTTGGAAGAACTTTGATAATAGGAACTTCCCTTACAAAGAAGGAAGTGCCCTGCCCTAATTTACTAATTCTGAGCCTTATTTTTGGGAGTTTGCAGGCCCAGGTGTGTCAGTAAGTATCAGTTCCTCCTTAGATCTCCCTTCTGGCTCTTCCATAAAGCTGTTGACTGATTAGGGAGTGCTCCTGTAAGAGGGGAAAAATACATTTGAAATCTAGGGCCTGGTGGCTCATGCCTGTAATCTCATTACTCTGGGAGGCGAAGGCAAGAGTATTGCCTGAGTCCAGGGATTTGAGACCAGTCTGGGCAACTTGGCAAGACCTTGTCTCTACAATAAATCAAAAAAATTAGTCAGGCGTTGGTGGCGCATGCCTGTGGTTCCAGCTACTTGGAAGACTGAGGCGGAAAGATCCCCTGAGCTGAGCAGGTTGATGCTGCTGTGGCCATGAGCCAGGGCAACAGAGTGAGACTCTGATTCAAAAAAAAGAAGAAAAGAAAAGAAAATTTACCTCCAAACTAAACTACCTTGCAGTTTTATACTACTCCCTAATTATATATACCCTATGCTGGGTGACTGACTCACCAAGTCATAAATTGCCACAGTTCTTTCTTTTTTTTTTATTACAATCAGAGCATTTCCTCTGCCTGAAGGGTGCTCCTAAAATCCTATCCTTTCTTCAAAACTCAGCTCATTTATTTTCCTTACCAGATGCTCCAGCTAGAAGGACTTTTTCCCTCCTCTAAATTTCCATAACCATTTATTTCTTACACCTACCACACATTCATGCTATAATGTCTTGTTGACTTTGTATCTTCCACAGTATCTAGCACAATGTAGATGCATCGGGGTATTGTTCATAGTCAAATCCTGGCTGGTTCCAGCTACTTGGAAGGCTGAGGCAGAAGGATCACCTGAGCCTAGCAGGTCAAGGCTGCGGTGGCCATGAGCATGCCACTGCTTTCCAGCCTGGGCAACAGTGAGACTCCTACTTTAAAAACAAAAATTCTCATCCGGGCTCGGTGGCTCAGCTGGAGAATAGGTAAGAAATTAACCTAGGGAGCTGTGTATGAGGGGAGACCCAAAAAAAACCCGGAATTATTTTTTGGAGGGCGGACTTTTGTAGTACAAGCTTCCCTTGCTAGATTAGTGTTCTAGGAGCCCATAGGCATCAGTGTACTAGCTAACATTATGAAAGGGCTGTGTTCGGCCCCAGTGAATTTTTTCGGAGATTCTTTCAACACATTTGCCCATTTCATGATGAATGATTTATGAGTGCACCTGCCTACACTTCACTGAATGTTTAGCAGTTTTGGGTTTTTTTTTACCAAAAACGACATGACCCTGTGTCCTACCCTCCCTATTCATCTGATCTCACCCTGAGCGACTTTTTTTTGTTTCTCCTTGAAATAAGTCCTCAAAGGAGAACGTTTTGCCGATGTGGCAGAGGTGAAACAAAAAATGGCAGAAGCACTAAAAGGCATGAAAATTGACAATTTCAAAACTGAGCATTCAGATCCGAGTCACAGCACCAACAAAACAAAACAAAACAAAACAAAAAACTGAGCAGTGGGAAAAGCAACTTGATAGGTGTATTGCATCAAATGGAGAGTACCTTGAAGGTGACTGAAGTTTAAACATGTAAGAGTAAACACGCAATTTTTTTTTTTTTTTGAGTTGGAGTCTCACTGTTGCCCATGCTGGAGTGCAGTGGCAAGCTCAAAGTCTCCCCATCCTCGACTTCTGGGTTCAGGTGATCCTTCCGCTTCAGCCTTCCAAGTAGCTAGAACTACAGGCAAGTGCTACCACACCCGGCTAATTTTTTGATTTATTGTAGAGATGAGGTCTCGCCTAGTTGCCCATGCTGGTTTCAAGCCCATGGGCTCAGGCAATCCTTTCACTCCCTCCCAAGTGCTGGAACTACAGGTGTGAGCCACTGCGCCCGGCAGATTTTTAGTACTGAAATGAAGTAAAGGTGAACTAGAGGTAACCAGAGGTTATGGGCATTTACCTAGGAATGCCGAACTGGTCTGAACCAGCCCAGGGGGCTGACTGCCTCAAGGAAGGATGCAAGAGAACATTCACCATGCACAGCTGCAAAATGTGGTCAGCAGGTGCAGAGAACACTTTGCCCACAGCCTCAGCATGACCTGAGTGCCCAGACTAGAGCCTGAGGGGAAGGGGACATTCCGGGACATTCCGGGTTGACCATTCCCAGGATCCCTCCCCAGACTCCAGACCCCTGCTTGGGGCCTTATCCAGGGTGTGCTCATATTGTCACTGAGTGTGTCACCCCACAGTGTATTTTTGTCTAGATATACACTACACATTTTAAGGTTTCCAGTTTGTATTATCTTCAGCAAAATCTGCACGGCATGGAATTATATGATCTGCACTTTTTTTCTACGGCAGCAGGCCACATTTCTTTTGACAAACTATCCATCTCTCACATTTGAATAAAGGAGTTACCCTTCTATCTCTTCAAAACTCCCAGATGGGTGGGATCTTATTCAAGGGAAGACAGAGCTCTGCTGAAATGATCTTTTATATTGTGACTTCTAAACTGAGGTTACTGCCAGGTGTGGTAACTCAAGTCTATAAACCCAGCACTTTGGGAGACCCGGGGGAGGGGTGGATTCCCTGAGTCCAGGGATTCAAGACCAGCCTGGGCAACTTGGTGAGACCTTGTCTCCACAATAAATCAAAAAATAAACCAGGCGTGGTGGCGTGCATCTGTAGTTCCAGCTACTTGGAAGACTGAGGCAGAAGGATCACCTGGGCCCAGCAGGTCAACACCAGGGTGGCTGAGCCTGGGCGACAGAATGAGACTCTGACACAAATAAAAACAAAAATAACGGAGGTTACTGAGAAAAAGAAAGATTGACCTTTTTTCACAATTTTTATTTGGCTTGTTTTTGGAAATGTACTAGAGAGGGGGCTGCATTGTTGATCACAATGTCATTCTCATTCTAGGTTGTGCTAGAGCTGGTTCATCTTGAATCACATCATGTGACATGTGGTACTTTTCTTATTCCACTTCACCTTCACCCCAAACCACATCCTCATTCCACACCTGAAAGTCGGTTGACTGAACACATTTGTAAAGTAAATGCTCTTATGAGGTATGACACGTAGCTTGTACTCTTTTTTTTTTTTTTTTTTTTTGAGTTGGAGTCTCACTCTGTCACCCAGACTGGAGTGCAGTGGCCGCTCCCGGCCAGCGCAGCCTCGGCCTGCTAGGCTCCGGTGATCCTTCTGCCTCAGCCTTCCAGTTAGCTAGAACTACAGGCTCACACTACCATGCCCAGATAATTTTTTGACTTTATTGTAGAGACGAGATCTCACCCAGTTGCCCAGGCTGGTCTGGAACCTCTGGACTCAGGCAATCCTCCCACCTTGGCCTCCCAAAGTGCTGGAATTACAGGCTTGAGCCACCACGCCCGGCCTGTAATCTCTATTCTAATGTCATCCCACGCAGCAGTATGAGAAAAGAAAAATAGCTGAGAGCAGTCTGAACTATGTGAGGTATGCAAAATGTATCAGGCCCAGACAGATATGAGTATGGGACTTCAGTCACACATGGTTCCACCCATACCTGGGGCAATTATTTAAAGGCATTTTGTTCTTGACTAGCTAGCTGCCTTACCTATTATCTTTATTTTCCTAGGACTTGTGATACAAAAACAATGCATAGGCAACCCCATAGCTTGTTATTTCAATGTAAATTATTGGTAAACAGTACAGTTTGGGAACTGCCTCTCCTTTTCCTTTAAAAAATGCAATTGTGAACCAGGCCCAGTGAGTGGCTCAGGCCTTCTGTAATCTAAGCATGGTGGGAGGATTGCTTGTGAGACCTTTTGTCTGAAAAAAAAAATTGCCAGATGTGGTGGCACTCACCTGTAGTCCCAGTTTCATGGGAAGCTGAGGCAGAAGGATCATCTGAGTCCAGGTGATCGAGGCTGCAGTGAGTTATGATTATGCCACTGCACTCCAGCCTGGGTGACTGTGAGACCTTGACTCAAAAAGGAAAAAAAAAAGTACTCTCCAGATAAGGAGGTGTGCACAAGGTTAGCCGGTCCTGAGTTTCAGGAGGTATAAACCTGGCTCCTCTCTTTGCTCTGTAAAATGTCTGAAGGGTCAGAGATGTACCATGCAGTCACCAAGTAACAAGTAAACATGAATTGACCTCTTCCTGAATCTACCTACTCCCAGAGGAAGGAATTTTCTTTTTTCTTTTTTTTTTTTTTGAGGTGGAGTCTCACTCTGTCGCCCAGACTGGAGTGCAGTGGCTGCAGCCTCAACCTGCTGGGCTCCAGCGATCCTTCCACCTCAGCCTTCCGAGTAGCTGGAACTACAGGCGTGCGCTACCACACTCGGCTAATTTTTTTTTTTTTTTTGAGGTGGAGTCTCACTCTATCACCCAGACTGGAGTGCAGTGACTGCTCCCGGCCACCGCAGCCTCGACCTGCTGGGCTCCGGCGATCCTTCCGCCTCAGGCTTCCAAGTAGCCGGAATTACAGGCATGTGCTACCACGCCCAACTGATTTTTTGATTTATTGTAGAGATGAGGTCTCGCCTGCCCAGGCGGATCTCGAACCCGCAGGCCCAGGCAATCCACTCACCTCAGCCTCCCAAAGGCGCGGGATTACAGGCTGAGCCACCGAGCCTGGCACTAATTTTTTGATTTATTGTAGAGATGAGGTCTCACCAAGTTGCCCAGGCGGGTGTCGAACCCACGGGCTCAGGCAATCCACTTACCTCAACCTTCCAAGGTGCGGGATTACAGGCTGAGCCACCAAGCCCGGCTAGGAATTTTCATTCCTACAGATCTGCTCCTGACAATAGGGTAATGAACCAAAAGTGTTCAGGAGGACAGAGATTAAGAGAAGTGCCTAAGGAAAGAGTCCGCAAGTCCATTAATCTACAAGGAGAAAAGCCCTGAAGTTTCTGCTGTTTTCATTCTAGCCAACATGGTTCCCAGAGATCCAGGTGGTAGACAGATGGCAAGACTCCAGAATTTCACAGGGCTGGGGGGTGGGGGGGGCGCTGCCTAACAAGGTCCCGTCATACTCTGTCCCCCACATTTATTTTTCCAGCCACTTGTGACTCCGGCAAGATGCTAAGTATCCCCAAGGAGGCACCCTCAACATCGCCCAATAATTTAAAAGCAAAAATTTTCAATTAATTCCACTAGAGGGAGCCCCAACCAACTCTATGCTTCAGGGAGCCGCACAGAGTCGTTTTTCAACACCTGTCTGAAAATCAGTCCCAAAAGGGAATCGAGGAAGTGTGGCAATAGATTAAGTTACTGGGAGAGAAGCTAGCCATGTAAATATCGAGTTAAACCCTAGGCTTTTCAGGAGCTACAGAATCAAAGACGGAAAACTCAGGAAACTGAGACTGAGAAAAGTTAAACATGGGTCCGCCTCTTCTCTGTCTCTTATTTTTCTGAATTGGGAAACTCTCTCGATTACCTCCTCCTGCAATTAATTTCCTCCAGGCACTGCAGAATGCCTTACTGAAGGGACCTCCAGTTTTAAGCCTATTAATGTCATTTTGCTGATGTAAATTATCCAAGATGGCTACCATCAGTCATTTTTCCTCTGTATCATCACAACAGGAGTATCTCAGACATGTAAACCTGTAATTTGTCAGTCTCCAAGCTGCAGGCAGTGTCTACATGGAAGTGAATCATAGCTAACAGGCTCCAAAGCTCTTTCTCTTCAATCTACACTTAGGATTTTGAGACAAGTAGAGAATTTGCCCTTCAGAACCTTGATTTTTTTTTTTTTTTTTTTTTGAGTTGGAGTCTCACTCTGTCGCCCAGACTGGAATGCAGTGGCTGCTTCCGGCCACCGCAGCCTCGACCTGCTGGGCTCCGGTGATCCTTCCACCTCAGCCTTCCGAGTAACCGGAATTACAGGTGTGCGCAACCATGTCCGACTGATTTTTGACTTATTGTAGAGATGAGGTCTCGCCAAGTTGCCCGGGCGGGTCTCGAACCCACGGGCTCAGGCAATCCACTCACCTCGGCCTCCCAAGTTACGGGATTACAGGCTAAGCCACCGAGCCCGGCTGAACCTTGATATTTTAAGTGTTGTAAGTTGATTCAGCCCATTCCACCTTCCTATGAACTCCATGTTTCTCAGTTGCCTGGACAACATGCAGTTGCCAGAAACCCAACCTTCCAACTCTCAGTCCTGCCTCCCTGGAGATCTGCCACTCTGGATAGTCTCCCAGGACTCAGGCTTCTCTTCAGTCTCCTGGCTGGTTGGGGCTTCCTTCTCTCTGACCCTCCCCTGTGGTCACTCCACAGGGACACCCAACACATACAAGAGAGGATCCTACAGGTAGGAAAAGGAGGGTTGAGGTAATGGAAAGAGGGAGGGGGCCAGGTACAGAAGTTTATTTTCTCTAAAAGAGGGCTGAGAATGCTTCTGTGCATAGAGCCTGTCTGGTCGAGAGAAACAGCTCCGCCCTCCCCACTGACCCCAGCCCTGCCTAAGGTTCCAGAGAGACTAAGAACTGAATTTTCTGGAGCATATGCAATATAGACTTGAAGACTAACATTCTGACTCTCCTGAGACTCCTGGTTCAGTCTAGGGTCCTGAGCACAAGATCCCCTCCCTCTCCCAGGACAGCAAGGCGATGCCACCTAAGACCAAAGAGAAAGGGAGGAAAGCTGGGGCACAGAAGAAGAAAAAGAACTAGGGTGAGTCATGGTAGTGGAGGTGGGTGCCCTCATGTTATGGCACAGAGACCAAGCAGAGGTTCCCAGAGAGAATTCAGCTCCCTGCATGATAAGGTGGTGCTTTCTTGACCCTTCTCTTCATACCTTCAAATCCAGACCCTTCTCTTCATACCTTCAAATCCATGGAGCTGAGGAAATGGGGAAATGGTCACCCACACTCTTGAGCCCTGCCTAGCTCTGTGCCTTCCCAATATATCCATCACCTATATTTTGAGCACAGACTACGTGCTGGGCAGTGAGGACACAGTGCTGGGCTCAGTAGACTCAGCCAACAGGGATCCCTCATTCAGTGGTCCTCAGATCTTGTGCGGGAAGGAAGTGCAGGGTGTGGGGTGAGGACAGGAGGGGAGTGAGGAGGTCTGAGATTATGACAAGCTAAGGCTCTCCCAACTTGCCAAGGCGGATGTGGAAGTCAAGTCCAGGTACAGGCTGGTGGTGCTGGAGAAGGCGCTGCTCTGAGACCACTTGGGTAAGGAGGGTGGATGCTTGGGGAGGAGGGGGCTGTGGGAGAGAGGCATTTGTGTATACTGGGGTATTACAGGGTTGCAGCTACGGTGGAAGGCTAAGCCTGTGAGATTCCCAGGGGGGAAAAAAACAAAAACAAACCCAGAGAGAGAATGAGAGGCTGGACGCCCTGCCACCTGAATTCCAAAGGTGGGCAGAGTCCATCAAGGTCACAGGAGCTGACTTGTGGGATCCCCCAGCCAATCCTGAGGGCGACTCTGGGACTGTTCACAGCTCTACGGAGGGATGAGACATGTGGAGCCAAGGCTTCCGAAGACCAGCCGAAGTAGAGGTTGTGAGGGCTGGAGAATGAGCTGGAAGGGGCCCGAAGTGAAGGGAAGGCCATACATGCAGGTGTGTGGTCGGTTGCGCAGATGGGCAGAAGACAGGAGCCTGGAGGAGGACACGCAAGACCAGAGGATGCAAGGAAGAGAAATAGGGAGGGCTTCCAACTGCCAGGACTAGTCACGCTTCCCTGCACAGTACAAACCAGGCAGGATCTGAAAGGAACCAAAGGAAGGTCTCTGGGATCCTAGGGAAGGACCTTTCAGGATGCCTGATGCCATGTGCTCGATGCTCTGTGGGGTTCAAAATGCAGTCACAGCCATTATCTCATTCATCCCATGGGTGGGAAGAAGGGCTAGGATCCCCATCCTAAGCTGGAAGTGGGGAAGGGAGTCTGGTTTCCTATCCCATCCCCAGATTTTCAGGGTCTCCCAGCTTCTCAGAATCACCACAAGAAGAACCAAGAAGGCCTTTATGCTCCTGCCCCACTAGACCAAGCAGAGTCTTCCCCACCCACAACTTCGTTTCTTTTCTCCATCTCTCCATCTCTCACCCCAGAGAGGAGTCGCCAGTGCCGAGCCCTGCAGGAGGAGATGGAGACTCACAGGAAGCATCTGGTAGAAGAAGTGAGGGGTCTTCGGGGGCAGCTAGATAGGCTTCACCACCCTCCAAGCCCCTACCCTTTGAGGGTCACAAGAAGAGCCAGCGTGAAGGGGTGGACTTCAAAGGCCCGTCTCTTTTTTTTTTGAGTTGGAGTCTCACTCCATCGCCCAGACTGGAGTGCAGTGGCCGCTCCCAGCCTCCGCAGCCTCGCCTGCTGGGCTCCGGCCATCCTTCCGCCTCAGCCTTCCGAGTAGCCGGAATTACAGGCATGCGCTACCATGCCCGGCTGATTTTTTGATTTATTGTAGCGATGAGGTCTCGCTGCCCAGGCGGGTCTCGAACCCACGGGCTCAGGCAATCCACTCACCTCAGCCTCCCAAAGGTGCGAGATTACAGGTTGAACCACCGAGACCGGCTAAAGGCCCGTCTCTAAAAGGACCACTTTCCTTGCTGACTCTTTATTCACACACCCCCCCCCCCGCCACCATGTCTCTCACAAGCAAAACACATTCCCTCTTAGTTTCACTGATTTTTATAACGAAATCCAGAGAAAATGTTAGACTTATTTACATCTGTATCTTCACAGCCTAGCACCAGATAGGTCCTAAATAAATGTTTGCTAAATAAATAAACCTTCTAATAAGCAAAAATAAATTTTTTATAAAACAGGAAGAGGCCAGGCATGGTGGTTCATGTCTAAAATCCCAACACTTTGGGAGGCCGAGGTGAGAGGATTACCTGCACCCGTGAGTGCAAGACCAGCCTGTGCAACTTGGTGAGACTCCTGTGCAACTTAGTGAGACTCCATCTCTACAATAAATCAAGAAATTAGCCGGGCATAGCGGTGTGTGCCTGCATCCCAGCTACTTGGAAAGCTGAGGCAGAAGGATCATCTGAGCCTAGCAGGTCGAGGCTGAGGTGGCCGGGAGCATGCCATTGCCCTCCAGCCTTGGTGAGAGAGTGAGACTCCTACTCAAAACAAAAAAACAAAAAAAAACAGGAAGCGTTTGCTTCTCTTCCCTTTTACAGAATAATGCTGAAATATTTTAGCGTGACACAAGATCTTTCACAATTTGGGTCTCAACATTTTTTTTTTTTAATAGGATTCTCACTCTGTTGCCCAGACTGGAATGCAGTGGCACACTCATGGCCACCGCACCCTCAGCCTGCTGGGCTCAGGCAATCTTTTCTGCCTCAGCCTTCCACGTCACTGGAACTACAGGCTCACGCCACCACACCTGGCTAATTTTTTGATTTATTACAGAGACACGAGGTCTTGCCAAGTTGCCCAAACGGGTCTTGAATCCCTGACCTCAGACAATACTCCTGCCTCCTCCTCCCAAAGTGCTGGGATTATATGCACGAGCCATCATGCCTAGCTAAACTTTTTTTTTTTTTTTTGAGTTACAGCCTTGACTTCCTGGGCTCAGGCAATCCTTTGCCTCAACCTCCTGAGTAACTGGGACTACAGGTGTGCACAACCATGCCCAGCTAATTTTTTAAAATAGAGATGAGGTCTTGCTATGTTGCCTAGGATGGTCTCAAACTCCTAGGCTCAAGCGATCCTCCCACCTCAGCCTCTGTAATTCTGGGATTACAGGCATGAGCCACCATGCCTGGCTCAAAATTTTCTTATCCTAAAATATCTCATTTTAGCTACAGATTTTGAGTGACAGTTTAGCTGCTTCTGTGCCATGCAGAACCTGGGTTCCTTTCCTAATCCTTGCCTTACCTCAAATTTAAAGTCAATCAGCCAGGTTCAGTGGCTCAGTCTGTAATCCCGCGCTTTTGGAGGCTAAGGTGAGTGAATTGCCTGAGCCCGTGGGTTCGAGACCCACCTGGGCAACTTGGCGAGACCTCCTCTCTACAATAAATCAAAAAAATTAGCCGGGCATGGTAGCGCGCGCCCCAGCTACTTGTAAGGCTAAGGCGAAAGGATCACCAGAGACCAGCAGGTCGAGGCTGCGGTGGCCAGGAGTGTGCCACTGCACTCCAGTCTGGGTTACAGAGTGAGACTCCAACTCAAAAAAAATAAAAATAAATAAAGTCAATCAATGTTTATTGAGCAGCTCCTGTATACTAACTAGGTGCTTTACCGCCCAATATCACATTTTAAGATCACAACAAGCCTGTGAAGTGTGTATCATTTTCTCTTTAAAGAAGACACTGAGGCTCAGAGAGAGACACTCCCAAGGCTACCTTGAGTAACAACCAGACTTTGGACCCATCTCCTGTCCCAAGCCCACTTTACCTCAATGGGTCTTCAGCTTTTTTAGGGACTACAAGAAAGTTGATGACCCTAGGGGAGTCTGGAATGATCCGAAGGTATCTAAAAAGGTCTCCTTTTGGAGACTCTGTTCAAGGATAGAGTGTCACCCTCCTATTCTCTTTTGCCCTTCTGCCCACCCCCAGAAACGTGCCAGAGGGAAGCGGAGGCTGCACAGAAAGAGGCTGAGCAAGCCCTCAGAGAGCGGGACCAGACCCTGGTTCAGCTTCAGGCCCAGGTGGCAGACATGGAGGCCAAGTATGAGGAAATCTTACATGTTAGCACCACCCTCTGGAGCTCAGGTGCCCCAGTACCCAGCACTCCTCCATGCCCACAAATCCCAGCTAGTGTGATAACTGACAAGCCAAGGGTCAGGAGTATCTCAAGGGCCCCGCTCTATCCTGAGGGAAGACAGAAGGGATGCAACCATGTCTACCTGTTTAGAATCAGAATTTTCAGAAGACTCGGGCAAGGAAAGTTTGCAGACCAACCAGGGGCAACCCTCGCCCCTGGCCTCTCTCTTCCTGGGAGCTGAAATCTTGGTGTTCACAAAGCAGCCTGGACCAACTCTTGGCCAAGCTAAAAGCCATCAAGCCCCAGTGGGATGGGACTGTGCTGAGTCTCCATGCTATGCCCAAGGAGCAGCTGTACCAGTTTGGACTCAACCCCCTGGATCTTTGAGGTTGCCAGCCTCTAGTCTCGGGAGCTCACTGAGGCCCCAGCAATAAAATATTTGACAAAGAATTCAACAGAGCTATTGGCTGTGGCCTGTGGGCAGAGAGGATTGCCTCTCATGGGGATATCTCAGTTCTGGGTTGGCCCAGGAGAGAAATTTGACCAGGACTCATCCCCTCTACTACAGGAAGTGGGTCCCACACTCTAAGCCTGAGGACCTTTTTGTTTCTTCAAGCCACTACCCCTTATCCCCACCAACACAAACACAGGCAGTCAGATTTATAGGGAATGGCCATTTCTATAACAAACACAACAGTGACCAAGCACCACCCCCCACAATCCTAAGGTGCCCATAGAGAGAAAGCATAGCTGGTCTCCAAATTCTTGCATTATATCCAAGGGTCTTGGAGTCATACCTAGGTCACGCTGCAGATGGCTTCCATCCTAGTCAGCCCCACAGCTCACGACTTCATCCTTGGGACACAGCTCTCCAAAGTTCCCATGTGATATCCTTTGGCTACCTCATGGACTACCTGAGGTCTCTGACCACACCCTCTGCCAGAATGTGGGTCCATGGGAAGAAAGGGAGCCCCTGAGCAATCTTGTGATTGGTGGCGTCTGAGTCATAGGGCTTCGGTGTTTGGCTTAGAGAGAGTATCCTGCTTGCCTCAGGCTGGAATGTGAAAACCAAAAAGCCACTGGGTAGATCTGTGCCAAGCAGGGATGCTCTATAGCACTTCTGAGGCCAGAGTCCAGGCCTATGCAAAGAGAGAAGAAGAAGGTTGTTCCAGGACCAGAAGAGTTCCTCTTCCTTGCCCCCACCTACACCAGAATGTCTAGGACTGAGACTTGTCCCACAACTTATTCTGTCCCCATCTACTGTGACTTAAAATTCCAACAGTGCATAGCCCACACTGCTTTGCCCTGTAGCTCTCCCTCTCTGCTCTTCTTGCTGGTTCCTCTCTGCCCTTCTCTGACTACTCCCAGTCTCATCTGTTTCTTCTTTCTCACCTCTCCAGATCCTAGGGGAATCCAGGCTTCCAGTCCCTGCCGAGACCTAGCTGCCAGCTTCAGGTAGAGGGGTGGCTTGGCCTCAGACAGCTGCTGAAGTCTTTCCAGGTCATTCTTTCCCCCAGCAGCATATCCATTCACCTCCAGAATCACGTCTCCCACTTGCAGTCCTGCCCGGGCAGCTGAGCCTCCTGGAGTCACCTGGTGGCATAGGGGAGATGCAAGACATGGAAAAAGTTCACCAGGCACTCTAAGACTCTGGGAGGGAGACAGAGGAAGACAGATCAGGAGATAAATGATCAAAAAGATTCATGATTCTCCACACACAGTGGTTCACGCCTATAATTCCAGCACTCTGGGAGGCAGAGGTGAGAGGATTGCCTGAGCTCAGGGGTTCCAGAGCAGCCAGAGCAACATGAAGAAACCTCATCTCTACAATGGGCCTCATCTTTTCATCTCCCAGGTGACTGAAGCCCATGAATCTTGGACCTTTTCTTTTCATTTCTTTGCTTTTTAATTTTAAAGATGTGGGGTACAAGCCGGGCTCGGTGGCTCAACCTGTAATCCTGCGCCTTTGGGAGGCTGAGGTGAGTGGATTGCCTCAGCCCGCGGGTTTGTGACCTGCCTGGGCAACTTGGCGAGGCCTCATCTCTACAATAAATCAAAAATTAGCCGGGC